GCGAGGAGCAGGCATTTCTTGTATACCTTTGACTTTGGCAGGATCAACCTCGATGCCTTTGTTGCTGACAATGAAACCCGAGAGTTTATCGGACCTGACTCTGAAGGTGCAGTTGTTAGGATTCAGTCTGAGCTTGTACTCTTTCAACCTGACAAACAACTTTTGCAAATGGTCGAGGTGTTCTTCTTCCATTTGTGATCGGGCTATCATGTCATCTACGTAAACTTCAATCTCATGATGTATCATATCATGAAACAAAGCTACTATGGCGCGTTGATAGGTTGCCCCGATATTCTTCAGTCCGAATGGCATCACTTTATAGCAGAACGTACCCCACTGTGTAACAAAAGTAGTTTTCTCCATGTCTTTAGGTGCCATTTTGATCTGGTTGTAACCTGAAAATCCGTCCATGAAAGAAAATACCTTGTGCTAAGCTGTATTGTCAACTAATATGTCAATGTGCGGAAGTGGAAAGTCATCTTTAGGGCTAGCCCTGTTTAAGTCTCTGTAATCCATGCACATTCTCACTTTTCTGTCCTTCTTAGGCACGGGCACAATGTTAGCAACCTATTGTGGATAGGAAGTAACAGCAAGAAATCCAGCATTGAACTGCTTCATAACTTCTGCTTTGATCTTTTCAGACATGTCGGGCCTCATGCGGCGGACTTTTTGTTTAACTGGTGGACAGTCTTCTCTTGTAGGGAGACGGTGAACCACAATATCTGTATTGAGTCCCGGTATGTCTTCATATGACCAGGCGAAGATCTTAACATATTCATTCAACATCTGAACTAAGCGCTCTTTGACACTTGGCTCTAGGTTGGCACCCACTCTGACTTCTTTTCTGTCTTCATTAGTACCCAAGTTGATTGTCTCTAACAGCTCCTCATGAGGCAAAATTGCTCTTTCTTCCTGTTGTAGCAGCCTAGCCAATTCTCCTGGCACCTCACAATCTTCATCACCTTCGTATTCGACATGGTAGACCAGATCTTTAGAGTCACTGGAGGCCATAGCAGAATTATTACCCATGGAATCTGGAATGTAAGGGTACCTGCATTTGAGAGTGTGGGTGTGTGTAAGAGATAGCCACCTTTAAGCAAATAAAATGTAAAAAGAAAGACAATGAACATAAAAGTTTATATGTGAAAACGTCCATGATTCATTAAAATGGCATATGAAGATGAAAAATCAAACCCTTACAAATGGACCTATGTGCCTCGGGTAAGACACAAGGTTAAAAGTGTACGAATTGTTTGAGAATTATTACAAACCAACAAAAATGTTTGAAAGATAAATTACCGCGGTATGAAAGTAATCGGAACAAAGTCTTTTGCCTCCCAGTTGCACATTCCTCTGTCAACAGTAGGGAAAATCCAGTCTTCTAGGTTGCTCTCCTCTTTACTATCCTCCAAAGCATTGACTCCATGATGAGTGATATTCAATGGTGGCCCCCCATCCTAGGTGCGTCGTACAACCTTTTGAGCAGAAGTAGTGAAACCCAAGCCGAATTTATCTGATTTGAAAGGAAAGTCTGGTAGCTGACCCCAGATTGTGCTTCCTCCTTCTTCAATCACAGCCTTTGCATCTTTGAGGGATGACATCCGAGGCACAGGTTTGGTAATCATGGGTACAGAAGATACTATTTTGGTTGCTTCTATTTCAGGAGAAACCTCTTCAAAGTGCTGAAAAGGGGTTTCGATGAATTCACCATCCAATTCTACATAGCGGAAAGAATTTAGATGGCTTATCATGTATTCCTCTTCGCCGTGAACAATTATGATTTTCCCCTGGATAGGGTACTTGAGCATTTGATGCAGAGTGGAAGTGAAGGCTCCAGCATTGTGAATCCAGGGTCTTCCCAACAAGCAAGAATAGGAAGGACGAATGTCCATCACATAGAATGTGGAGTTGAAGGTTTCAGTTCCCACTTTAATCTGGATGTCCACCTCCCCGTGGACCATCCTTTTAGAACCATCAAAGGCTCTGACAATTATATTTTTGGGCTTCAAGGTTAGGCCTTCACAGTCCAATCTATCCAAGGCCTTCTTCGGTAAGACATTTAAAGACGACCCAGTGTCTACCAGAACGTGTGCTAGGGTAGTCCATCTGCATTCCACCGAGACATGCAAAGCATCATTATGTTTTCTCCCTTTGGAGGTTAAATCGGCATTGGAGAATCCTAGACCATTGACAGCTGTTAAGCTAGCTATCCTGGAACTGATCCGCGAAGGTTTCGTGTGGCACGTGGGCCGTCTTCAAAAATCTGATTAGAGCTTTAGCATGAGCTTCTGAACAAAGCAGCAGGGCCAATATAGAGATCTTTGAGGGGGTTTTCCCCAGTTGTTCCACAACATCATAATCGCTTTTTTTGATTATTTTCAAAATCTCTTCCATTTCTTTTTGAGAGGTCTCAGGGATGACCAATGGATGAGCCCTCGTCCTCACGGGCGCTTCTTGCATTCCTTTCCCTCTATCATCAGCAGCAGCAGAGGGGACAACCACAGGAGTTACAATTTCTTCAATTTTTGGAGTTCTCACGGATATGTTGACCGGTGCAGGGGCGACCTTAGGAGAATTTGAGGGTCCAAAGATTGCCTTTGGAGGGGCAATCTCTGGAGAGAAAATCCTTCCACTGCAGGTGATTTTGCTCGTTCCAGCAATGTTTCTAATGTCGGAAGTCTCTTCATTAGAACTCTCTTCAGTTGATTCAATTTGCTTAATATCGTGGTAGTAGATCTCTCCACCATAGTTCCACGATATTGATTTGTCGGACTTGTACGGGATGGGCCCGGGCATAGTTATCTTCAAATGTGCAATCTTCGGAGCGAATGTAATCTTAACAGGTCTTTTGGAGACCTTGGAAAGATTGGCGGATATGGTTATTATGGAAACATCATTGACAGGAGTTGGTGTAACAGGAGTCTTTTCAAAAAAGATTTCTTGGTTATGCATTAGGCGTTGGATGCCTAACTTCAACAATGGACAATCGGTTGGTAAGGATGAACAAAGGTAGCAATCTATTTCATAACCTGGGAAAATCCTAACCTTCAGCAAATTCAGTTTGATTATCGGTAGCGGAGTCATCAAATTATCAACAGTAGCAACAAAAAGATCCTCTTCAACAACATGGGTGTTGTGGCCATGCATTGCCATTGGAGCAGAGATCACATTCGGCTTTTCAGGGGCGTCGAATTCAACTTCTTTAGCATCTATTAAATCCTGAATCTTATTCTTGAGGGCCCAAATATTGTTGGTGTCGTGCCCTATACTCCATGAATGATAAGCACACTTGGCATTCGAATGGTAAAACGGATAAGTAGTATTCGAATTCTTCGGGGCCTCTTTCAAACTTGCAAGGTTTAACTTCAAGAGATGGGGTAGAACCTGAGCGGGAGTCATGTTTATCTGGGTGAATTGCCGTACAGGCCTTTCCACCCTTGCTTGGTTGGTTCTGGGTTGATTATCTCTGGGCTGATCAGCTGCAGACTTCTGAATCATTACAACCCCCACCGTTGGCCGACACTCAACTCTTCCTTGACCTCTTTGGGAGTAGACAACTGAGACTTATTTCTTTGCTGGAAAAGTCTTTTTGATGGCAGCGGAAGCAGATGCATCTTTTTGAATTTTCCCACTTTTAATTCCGGCTTCAACTTTTTCACCAGTTAGAATTAACTCGGTGAACCCCGCAGACGAACTTCCTATCAGGTGATTGAAGAAAGGCCCTGACAAAGTCCCTAAGAACATATCTACTAGCTCCCTCTCAGATAGAGGTTGTTGTACTCGTCCCTCCAAGTCTCTCCATTTTGGGCATACTCTTTGAAACCTTCATTCGAGACCATGCCCATACTCTGCAATTGAGTACGGGTTGGTGCTAAGTACGCATTGTACTGATACTGCTTGTAGAAGGCAGCATCCAAATCCTCCCAATTGTGCACATCAGATCTCTCTAGCTGGTAGAACCAATCTAATTGCGTCCCCGACAAACTGTCCCGGAAGAAATGGACCCACAGGTCTTTGTCAGAAGAATGTGGTTGAATTTTCCTGACATAAGACCGTAGGTGCATCTTTGGGCAAGACACCCCATCGTACTTAGAAAACATATGTACTTTAAACTTCAGAGGGATAACTATTCCAGATACCAACCCTAACTCTTCAAAGTCCAGCCCAGGCACTCTCTGAATCTCCATAGCTTCCAGACGTTCTTCCAAGTTCTTGTATTTCTCATCTGCAGGAGGATACTATTGTTCTGAGTAATCCACATCTTCCTCTTCTTCAACTTCAGAATCAGAAGGCACTGCCACTCCTTTACCCTTTCCTTCACCCTCTTCACACTATAACATTTAGCCTCTCCAACAACAATTGAAAAGCGTTTCCAGAACTCTGAAAATCGTTGCCTAAACAAATAGGGGACGTTTTCTAGGCGTCTCCTGTGCGAGCGTTGCCTATTGTTTGAGGCGACATTTTTTTAATGTTTTTTGGGCACGCTTTTGAAAAACATCGCCTATAGAAAAGGAATAGGGGACGATTATTTGCAGCCTCTGAGACGACGTTTTTTAAGCGTTGCCGAATTCGGCTACAATTAACAATCGTTGCCTTAAACCTGAATCAGGAAGATCGTTTTTGAAGTGTAGCCATAGCTTATAGGTTGTTGTTTTATAGTGTCCACATAAAATATACAATTTTTCAATTATTATCAAAATAATATAATCAATAATAATTGGCTTCAAAAATAATATTGATTATATAACTTAAACCATACATCCATAAAAGTTGTAATATAATAAAATCGAGTTCAAACTTTAATTCAAGATATAGTATATAGAGTACACAAAATGCCTAACGTAACATTACTTTAATACTTTGAAGTATGACCTTAGTAAAATAACTAAAAACATAGTTCAACAAAAAAACAAAAATCATATAATGCTTTCAACTACAAGCCAAAAAAAAGATATCATCCAACTCACTCAAGTTTGTCTTCTAGGAGTAAATCATCCAACTCACTCAAGTTTGTCTTCTAGGAGTAAATCATCCAGATCATCCTCTTGAAATTTGTCAGATATGTCATCCTCCATAAATTCTTCATCTACGCCGTCCTCTTGAAATTCACCATCTATATCGTCCTCTTGAAATTCATCATCTAGATCTATGTCGTCCTCTTGAAATTCGTCATCTACGTCGTCCTCTTGAATTTTATCATTTAGGTCGTCCTCTTGAATTTTATCATTTATGTCGTCCTCTTGAATTTCATCATTTATATCGTCCTTTTCAACATCTTCATTGATACATTGCTGCATAAGAAAATAAAATAAAACACATCAACCATAAATATTTTTGGTCCAAAGGACAATTAAGACATCAACAAGAATTAAACCTCGCACAAATAAAAACTAAACCAATGAGAAAAACACATTGTTTATATTCTTCACATCTCATGTCATGGGTGGGCTTTATATTACTTTACTTATCTTCTCATACCAGGAATATTCATAAAAAATACTCAATATTTTACTTTAAGTCTATATGTCTAAAGTTGAAAGTTTAGATTTTTCTCTTTTGCATATAACAAATCTTACACAGTTTCAGCCACTTCTAGGTGTTGTCACTACTTAAACAATTTCAACCACTTACTTCATTCTAGGTGTTGTCACTACTTGCAAATTTTTGCATACATTAACAACCATTTTGATACTATAACATAATTAGAAAAATATAAATCAATAATATTGGTATATATGGTTACCTTTCCATGACATGGAGCATGAGTTGATGTAGATGAATGCATTTGCGGTCTTATATCCTTTGGGGAACTATTAGCATCTCCATGAGATAATCCTAACAAATCTTTAATTGACTCTATATTAATTTGAGGATTGCATTATTGTATTACGGTCTTAAAAGCATTTTGCAATCTATCAATATTATCTTGAAACTCGTCCCTTAATGTAGAGACCTCTTCACTGTGGGATTGTTTCAAAGCATTAATCTCTGCCTTTCTCTTTAAGGAAGTTTTAGTTATGTTTCTCCCATAACATCATACCCTTCCTGGACACTCCTTTCCAAAAACAACTTTAAAAGCTTCAGTATCACTTTCCTCCTTTTCAACCATTTCTTGAAGTTGGGACTAGCATAAATTATAAAAAAAAAAAAATTAACTACTATTATAGACGATGTTGGCCGATTATATTAAGCAAACGTATTATATAAACAATGTTACATACAATTACTTTTCCAGTTTCTACATCCAGTTCCTTTCCTTTATTTCCTTTTCGAGTTTCAACAAACATTTCTGATTGAGTGGGCTCTCTTTTTTCCTTTTCACGCTGCACAAATCAAAATAATTCCATAACAAATCATGTGAATTAAAATTCCTATTCACGAGTCAAAGAAAAGTTTTTCACGAATACTTTAATTGAACAAAGAAACATTCATACAAGGAATACTTTATTGAGAACAAAAGAAAGTTACCACTTTTTCACGAGTCAAAGCAAAGTTTTGGGGACCCATTTGATGCATCCACTTTAGTTGAGCTCTATTTCTAGTGTTATTTTCACTGATTGCCTACATTTAAATTTGGCGGAATTATTATAATAAATATTACTTAATTATGCCATACATAGAAAGGTGTAAATTCACACACATACATAAAAAAATTATTAATCTTACTTGTATAGTTTCCTTACTCCAATAATCACAAAGACTCTTAAACTGGGCTATTGGCACGTTTGGCGGACGATTCTTGAGTCTCTCGGTCATGTTGGAATACTTCAAAAAATGATTCTTCTTAATTTTGTGCTTATATCTTCTCTATGCCTCTCTAACAGTGGTCTCAATCCAATCTCTTTCTTCAACCGGCAAGATAAACTTCTGCTACATAAATTATAAGATAAGACAAGATCAAGAAATAAAACACTTTTTTTAAATAATTATACTTTCAAATTCGTAGATAAAAACATACATTAGTATATCTCCAGAAACGGTTTTTATTATCATCTGGCATTCCTGACCAATTGGTGTAACGTAGAGGACAAAATGTTGAGTTCCTAGCCAATGTTCCCAAGAAGAGGCTCAAGTCAGATACTACTTTTTCACTAGGACCAATTGGCTGAAAATCCTCATTAAAGGTCACTTCTACTCGCTCTTCCAAAGTTCTTGCATGAATCTTTTTGAACAAAGTTTTCCCACGAGTTTTTCTTTGGGATGTTTCTATAAAGTAATCAACACAACAACATGATATCACATGTTTGCTACCAATATGTAAATAATACATGAAATCATTATTATGAAATATGAAACTAATTACCTTTTTCTTCTTCTCTATTTGTGATTGCATCTTCTTCGTTGACTTTTGCCCGATTTTGAACACTTTCTTGTCGAGTTCCTTTTTTTGGATGATTTTGATTAGAGCTACGGTTAACGCTGCTGCCCGGTTTTTCTCCATTGTTTGACTTGGTTGCATCCATTTCCTTTGACTTGTGATGATCTACATAATCATCAATCAACATTGATGTGCATTTTGGCACCCTGTTTAGCTTTTTAGAGCATTCAACTTTTGACATCATTGTGTCCAAAGATAGAGTAGATTTCTCTGGTTTCTTATTTTTGGAAGAAATAAGTATTCTCCTTGCAACTGGTTTTTCCACCTTTTGAATTTTATCTCTATTGTTCTCTAGTAGATTCTCATGAATTCTCTTTTTCAGCATTCCTGGTTTCAATGTAATTTTCTCGTCATAATAATGTCATGAAAAGAAATATATAAATTTAAAGTATATGCAAGGATATTAATTACCTTGTGAAACTTATTTGTTTCCATGTGCAAAAACTTCCTTAGCTTGTGGTTGCAAAATCTTAGGTCTATCTTCTTTCTTCATAGCAATGTGGTTGTCCAATTTTCCATCAACCTTTTGAATTCTTTCTCTATTCACTGTAGCTTTCACTTGAGTTCTTTTCTTTGGTGTTTCTAATTTTAGTAAAAATTCACCAAAAGATATTAGGAATAATTTCATGTAATATATGCATAATAGAAAAATTTAAAAATCACTTACCTTGTACAACTTCTTTGTCACCATGTGCATGATCTTTCATTACTTTTGGTTGCGAGAGTTTGTCTATCTCCATTTTCTTTGCAATAGTCTCTTTGTCCAAATTGTGATCAACCTTTTGAACTCTTTCTTATTGAGTTCCTTTTTTTGGTGTTTCTAATTTTTGTAAAAATTCATTAAAAAACAGTAGGAATAATATATCTAAAGGAATTCCAAAACATAACTTTAACATACATCATTTTATATAAAATCAAATGAAACAAGAAAATGATTTACCGTCCACAACTTCTATAATTTCCTGAACCCTTTCTCTATTGTTTCCTTGTAGCATCTCATGTAACTTGTCAATTTTTTCTTTCTTAACATGTTGTAGAACTTTATTTCTCAATTCTGCACTTGATCTTACTTGAAAAGGAAAATCAAATCTTTTAGTAGGACTTCGACCACTCTTCCTATGTGATCCACCATCTTTTACACTTCTTAAATTGTCCATTATAGCCAACAACTATGATCTACAAAGGGGGAAAATTACATAATTATATAATGAAAAATTGAGTATAAAGTGACATTATGCATAACCATAAATTAACAGTATATTTGAATCTAGTTTGTTATGGTTTAAGTAAAAAAATGAGAGCATGCTTAACCATAAATTAAACTTTGAACAAATCTATTTTCTACTTAAAATCTATTAAAAAAATTGGTAAAACACATTGTCAATGCTACCTAATCAGTACTAGAATCATAATCGGTTTCATCGTCACTTCCATAACTCGTGTCACTATGATCACTCTCTATTAATTTTTGGTTGTGAAGTTCTGACAAAGGAATTTCAAAGATATCATCCGGCAAGTGTTTCCTAACCAAATCCACTTCACAATCATCCCTTAATGTATTAAGATTTGTTGAAATATCATATTCTTGGGCATCTGTACTTAAAGATTCTCCCATGTCAAATGATTCCCTTGGAAGTGCATTTAGAACATAGTGTTTGTTTTTGTTTAAAGGATCTTCAATAAAGAAGCATTGTTGAACTTGAGATGCCAACACAAATGGATCATTTTTGTAGCATTTTTTGTTAAAGTAAACCAACGGCGGTCCATATTTATCATCCATAAACCAATAACATTTGAACAATACATATTTTTCATGACCATAATAATCTAACTCTATAATATCTTTTATTGCCCCATAGTAAGTCACACAAATCTTTTTGGGATTTTCATCCTTCGCATTTCTAAGAACTTGAGTCACCGCTTCTAATGTCACACCACTATTTTGTGTTTTAAGCCTTGCTTCACGATTTGTTGTATGAAACCTGTATCCATTAATAACATAACCATAATACCTTATAACAACATCATTTGGTCCCCTAGATAACACCTTCAACCATTCAGTAACTTTCTCATCCATGAGACGTGTTTCAAACCATTGAATACAATCTTCTCTTTGATTGTTAGCTTTTCTGGACTTCCTTTTTTTAGAGGATTATGATCATTAACCTCATTCTCTCTACAAAATAAATAACTAATATTTTAATACAAAAGAAAAAGAAAACTTATAGTGAGAATGAAATTTTGTATCAAGTAGATGAGTGTACCTAATATACTCTTGCACTTCATCGCAATTGAATAAAATGTAGCCGTGAGATTGGTTTAGAGACTTATGATCAAGGGAAATTAGTTTCTTTCCCCCGATTGGATGACCTATGTTTGGAGTATCATCGCTATTTCGTGTCATTCTATTCATCCTTGTATCTACAGCACTAGACAAATATCTTGAACAAAATGTTAGAGATTCTTTAACTAAGTATGCTTCAGCGATAGAACCCTCTGGACGACTCCATGTGCTATGTGAAAGACTCATGGTCCTAAATGGATTAAACCCATCACTTGCCAACCCAAGTCTGATGTTACGAGTTTCACGAGCAAAATCTAAATGTTTGGCATCAAAGTCTTTCCATGCTTGGGCATCAGCTGGATGCCTTAACTTCCCATCCCTTGAACGATGGTCTGCGTGCCACCTCAATGTATCGGCTATCTTTAAACACATAAAAAGTCTTTTCAATCTTGGAATCAATGGAAAATGTCTTAGAACTTTGGCGGGAACCTTATGAGCTTTTATAGATTCTTCAAGATCATTAGCAACTTCAGGATATTCAATCCACCTTGACGTGCCACAAATATGACATGAATCATCTTTCCCATGATCATTCCAAAACAACATGCAGTTGTTCGGACATGCGTCAATCTTTTTATAGTCTAATCCTAAATCTTTTATCATAGATTTTGTTTTATTGAAAGAGACAGGGATGTTCAAATCTGGCATATCCTCTTTCAACAACTCTACGAGAGCAGTGAATGATGCATTACTCCATCCATGGAGACATTTCAACAAATAAATTCGAATAGTGAATGATAACGAGGAAAACTTTTCACAACCAGGATACAACTCTTGATTTGCATCATCAACTAGTTTATAAAATTTCTTTGCATCTTCATTTATCCCTTCATGTAATCCACCTCCTTCATCCACATCTTTAAATGTCTCAAATAGTAAGCCATCGATATCATCATGAGATGATATTTCATCATCACTATCACCATCAAGATCTATAAGGCTCTCATCTTCACCATGATAAATCCATTCAGTGTATCCCTTTACAAATCCTTTACTACATAAATGGTCATACACTACATCTCTTACTTCCCAACTATCATTGCAACATATAGAACAAGGACACAAAATCTCTTCTTCTTCAACCATTCCTTTAGTGAATGCAATATCCAAAAAGTAATTTACACCGTCCTTATAACTTTGACTGTGTAGAGGTAACTCCACCCAATCCTTCTTTATCATGTTTGGTTTTCTAAAATGAAATAAATTATACATTACTCTTTATCATATAAAGGATGGAAAAACACCATGGTTCATATATCAATGTAGCTTTTACAAATGCATAGTTATTATAAAAATTTCATTTATAATCTAAATATACACTAAACATTCATTCCAATACCAAACATAGAATAAATTGGTGAACTTTTAATCTAAACATGCATTACAAACATAAAATAAATGAGCTAAACTATTTTACATATGTTACTTAATGGAAGAGATAGTTTAAGGTTGTCTTTGTATATATCCATTGGATGATGTGTTTTATATATGTTTCTTTGGATTCATGTGTTTTGCCCTTACCAATAAGTCTAACTAGCTGTGACTTTGAATTAATAATATATACAAGTATTTGATCTTATCAAGTGAAATTAGAGATATTACTTGCTTTCAAACTACAACTTGCTAAGGTATGATTCCTTATGATAAAATGATGATAAGTTTTAGCATAAACATGAGTAGGAAAACACAGGGCTATTTCTTGAGGGGTGTGTGTTAAGATTTAAAAACAAGAACAATTAATTTATATTCTAATTATGAACAAACATCATCATAAGGAATGTCTTTTTTGAATTTTGAATTTTGAATTTTAATTTCTGCATTTTATATGTACAACATCATACCCACATATTGAAGTGTCCTTTTGAACTCTATGTATATGTTTTTATTAGTCTATAATAGATCTCCACTACTAAGTGGAGGTTGTCTGGATTTATGTCAATTATTGCTAACAATTCAAACCTGTTTTAATTCTTACATATCTGAAAATTTTAAACAAACAGTTTTACTAAGATGCTTTGTAATATCATTTGTACA